ACTTTGAGCCTTTCATCATGGCAGCGCCGAATCGTTAACCGGGTAAAAAACTCCTCTAGATATCAAACGCATCTGCGATGGTACAAGTTGGTCAGAAATCCTTACCTATGTTTTAAGCAAAGTCTTGTATTGACCTTTAGCCCAAACAAGCATACTCCCCTCATCTATATTAAATTAATATAGTTTTATACACCCGATTTTTGTAAATCGTCAACAATTCTCAATTATTTTATCTTTCAAATACGTCTTTAGGTAGGTCCCAAATTATAACTCATCAGAAGAGAGTAGGGTAATTTGAAGGAATTTTTCTTCCCTTAGACATTTAATTTAATTTTTCTTTGTCCTACTTAGTTTATTATTAAAGATACTGATTATTATTCATTTTCTTCTTATATTATAATATTGATCCTTAGTACGCTTTCTACATCCTCCGTTGAGTTCTATCTGAAAATGGGTACCCTTTACACGGACCTTGTCGGACATGAGGCCTTTCTTGACCGCTACCTCGAACTACTAAAGCGCGATCAGCTTGAAGAAACCGTCTCTCTTTCTCCTTTGAATGATTCTCTGGCTTATCTCGTTAATTTGCATGCTGTTCATTTATCCAATCAGCCAGTTGCTAACTGTTTTGCTCTCATGCAAAACTTCGCATCTGCGGTTTTGGCTTCTTCCGAGGCTATATCAATGCAAGTAGTCACATTAGCGGTATTTTCAGATCAAGTAAGCGTAACATTAATTTGGGCTTAATGCTTGATACATGTGATGTGTACTGTTTTATTTTGGGAATTGTGTACAGAAGTCATACTTTACCTTAAGCATAAACAATACTCACTAATATATTTTCATGAGATGAATTTCTGTTCCTGAACCATCATAGAAATTAGTCTGGCTGATTTAATGACCTACAACCTCTGGAGGACCTTATTTCTATGCAGCTCAATTAATTGCATTTTTGATGGCTATACTAATTGGCACTGCGTTTGAATTTTAGCGCTTTATTCCTTTTATTTTTGTGTGATATTTTGATCAGACATAGTGCTCCTCCAATACCATCAAAGGTATGAAGACCAAGATGGCGTGAACTCTTTTTTGGTCTGAAATTTCTGCCCTTGCGATCTCTTAGTTTTGGATTTTGGTCGTCTTGTCAGACTGACATAGATGGACACAGCCCCGGAGACATGTCATAGTAGTCATGCTAATTTACAGTGTCCAAACGTAGATTTGTTATACGGTCAACGATCTAAGCTAATAATTATCATGACCACTATGGCAAAGTCC